TCTAAAACACTTCCCAATGAGGCCATCAGACTTCACAATTTGTTCTCTAAATCTTTTAAATTGTAAATATAGGTTTTGGTTGCATAACTTATAACTCAAACCATTTTGAAAATTTTAAATCTTGGTCGTTCAGATGACTGTTTTAGGTGATAGTGGAGTTATTCCAGTATAAAATACTAGGGTGAGCATTATTACCCATTAACAGTATTAAAAACCAGCACTCACTGATCTGTTGCAAAATAGTAATTAAAATAGAGTTCTGAGTAGAAGCTGCAACTCAGAAAATGATAAAATAGTACAAGAAGTTTGTCAGTAAATAAAATATACATCCTGTAAACTGGTTTTGACCAGATCAGTAGGAAAACTTAGTTTGCCTTGACTGCTTTTAGTTTGTTTTCCCCATTCTAATATTGGTAAATCAGAATCTGAACTCTGTAATCTAAAACCCCAGGGCTTGTCTGGAGTCATACAGCTGCATTTCACAGCAGAACTCTGAAGAGTAGCCAGACACTTACAGGAACATCAGATTACTGTTCTTTAGAAACTATTTTATGAATTCAGACAGGTGTCTGATACGTTGTGATACTCCAGTTTTTGGGTGCTGCTTCCAGCCAGCCTAGCTTTCCATTCCCCTTGTCAGTTACAAAGTGTATCTAGGGTACAAAGTTTAGTGTTTAAAAAGTCAGTGTCCTGGTTTAGGGCTGGGCCACCAAGTCCTGGACAGACGCTCTCTATGAACCCCTCTCGCCTCCCCAGAAGGGAAGAGAAAAGAGAATAAGGGAGAGAGACTTTACAGGTTGGAAAACAAAGCTAACAGATTTAATGAAACAATAATACTACAGGATAATAAAGTACATAGGAACGTAATGAAATATATACAGATATGTACACATATATACAAAACCAATATAAAATTCTCCCCCCAGTGACGATGATGTCACCAGAGGCTCTGCAGAGCAGGGCCCTGGAAAATTCCCAGACCAGACCCAGCAGCAGTGGGAGCTGATGCAGGAACACACAAATCAGGATCAGAGACAGACAAACCAGCAGGTTCTGCTCAGACCTCGGCCATTGCAAGATCAAGAGGGACAGAAGGGTCCAAGATCGAAGGGCTCCAAGATGGAAGAAGTGTTGAGACCCTCATGATCCCTTGGCTTTATACTGAGTATGACGTATGTGGGATGCAATACCTCGTTGGTCAGTTTTGGGTCCACTTCCCCCCCGTAGGCACAGACAGGGCACCCATGGTGAGACAATGGCCTTGAGATTATCGGTTGTAGCAGCACATACCAGAAAAACATGCCATTAGTTTCAGCAAGTTCAGTCACTTAAAGGAGACTGAGCTGCAAAATAAAATCACTCAATAGAGAATGAGTTCTATTTAGCTCAAACCAGGACATTCAGCAATTCAGCCTTAAATAACCCAGCTGTCTTTTCCACCTCACTTCATATTGTTTGTAAACAAAAAGCAAGAAGCAGAAAATATCTCTCTAATCAGCTCTCAGCTCTCTTGTCTTTGTTGATTTTGCACACGTGTTCATGTACCCGTATACTTCCCTCTTTTCAACAAGAGAAGTAGAATTGTCTGAAAGCCATCACTGCTGGGCATTTCTGGGATTACAGATTAGTTTTTTCTCTATCGGTTATCTTCTTTAACAGTAGAATAAAGAGGGAGAAACTTTTGGTGAATGCAGTCATTTTAGTATTACTTTTAATGATAATACAATTTAATCTTTAATTTGTGTTTTGTTGATATAAAGAGAGAAATCTGAAACCAGAACTCATTAAGTACTGACATTTGGGAAAGCTCAGCTCTGCTGTGGATTCAGCTTTAGAGTGGGCACTGCTCTGAAGGTTTTCATGAACCACAGCAACAACAGAGTTAATGTGACTTGTTCACCTTGGAAGTGTTACAAGGATCATTGTACATAAAGCTCTGCTCTGCTTGATGCTGGAGAGCTTTTAACTGAAATACAGCATTCATTACAGGGCACCACTCTTCAGAAAGATGTAATAAATGGGGAGACTCCACAAAAGAGCAACAAGAATCGGAGGGTTAAGAGTGAAGATAGGAGGAATGAGGGCTGGTTATTTTCAAAAAGAAAACAATGAAGAGGGGAAAAGTTACATTTCCCATAGGTGTAATGTTAAAAGATGGGAATCGGTAATTTTTCATTCCAGCTAGTAGAAGGGCTAATGGTTTAATTTGAAGTAAAATAGACTT